AGTGGAGGAATTAAATAACCTTGTTTTTCTTCTAAAACAATGGCTTTCAACATTATACATCCTATCTTCTAGCGTTGTTGGCTTTCAATCATTAGCAGTTGTAGCCAGCTTGAATAGGAGGCGTTGTAAAAGTTTGCCACTGCTATTCTGCATTGGTGGGCGCACTCTCCACATACGCTTCTCGTCTATCGTATGATCTTGCTGGTATGTTGCGTTTGGTGAGTGTGTGTGTGTTATTTACAAGTTTCGCAGAGCATGCACCGTTTGCATATCTGACTGTTATGAAAGGCTTTTAGCGAACATAACTGTACAAAAATATATTGAAAATTTTTCATCTTCCTCATACTCCTTAGCATCTTGAACCGGAGTAACAACTGCTGTAACATATTAGTGTAAAAAAGAAACCGTCGAGTTTGTATTCTTCCGTATTGTTATATTTCATTCTGTCATTTTGAGCGGAACAATTAAGAGCTGATACACTCGGTATAGAAACACCATCATTTAATCTCGGTACGCCACTGCAGGACTGGCGTCATTTTACTCAATTAAAAAAGATACTTGTCAATGTAACGACGCATTAACACAACACTGTTGACATGTTGACGAAGCAAGATAAATTTTTTCGACTGATACTTACTCTACGAAGTTATTACGGCTAGAAACTCCCCTTTATTTGTTCAACACCATGACTGAACTTGTTACTACAAGAACCTGAAGCGTATAATCGGATGCAGAATTAAAAGAAGCTAAATAATTGAAACGTTCTGATCGGTATATCAATATACATGAATCTGTTTGCAAAATTTGAAGTGAACAACAAAAGTGTAACAGTATTAAAATTATATTCTTGTTGTTAAACAACGGAATTCTGTGGGGTGTAGTATTTAGGACTGTGTTAGCGTTTTTTTCTGTGTGTGCAGGAAAGAAGGGCAGCACTGACGTTTAAGTCTGTCAGTGTCGTATCATAAATAAATTACATAGATACAACATCATTATACATGATATATTATATATATAAATAAATAAATATATATATATAAGTAAATAAATAAATAAATAAATAAATATATATATAT